ATTTTTTTTTACCTACTGATGGGCAACAACAGTCTAGAGGACAGTGTTTTGTTTTCTTCTTTTTTAAACAGAATTGACATTTGTACAGTGAAGGAGATGGAGGTAGGGGGACAAGCATGGACATGATGAAAAAAATTAAGAGAAACAGAAATGAGTCAGGCAATCTCTATACGGTTAATGTGTGTTGAGGCAGGTATCTCTCAAATCAAAAGAAAGCACAAAATTCCCATACATATTTTGCTGGTTTTGATATTGAAGAACCCCATATCATAAATCCTAGTCAAGTCATATGTTAACTAATGCTCACAATTAAAGTAACCAAGAAGCCTACTTCAAAATTTCTTCAGTTTAAAGTAAATATCATGAAATTTCAGAAATCAGTGCTTCATTAAACTCTTTTTTCATTGTTTTTTCACAAAGACCTTATCTGAACTTTTCTTTAAAAAGAAAACTCATCAGAATATACTGGTCCTTTAAAAAAAAAATGTCATTACTAAGAATTGAATTCAGGAGATACATCACTCTAAATTGATACCATTTCAACAGCTTAAAGCTCAACATTCAGAAAACTAAGATCATGGCATCCAGTCCCATCACTTCATGGCAAATAGATAGGGAAACAGTGGCTGACTTTATTTTTCTGGGCTCCAAAATCACTGCAGATGGTGACTGCAGTCATGAAATTAAAAGACACTTACTCCTTGGAAGGAAAGTTATGACCAACCTAGATAGCATATTAAAAACCAGAGCCATTACTTTGCCAACAAAGGTCCGTCTGGTCAAGGCTATGGTTTTTCCAGTGGTCATGTATGGATGTGAGAGTTGGGCTATAAAGAAAGCTGAGTGCCGAAGATTTGATGCTTTTGAATTGTGGTGTTGGAGAAGACTCTTGAGAGTCCCTTGGACTGCAAGGAGATCCAACCAGTCCATCCTAAAGGAGATCAGTCCTGGGTGTTCACTGGAAGGACTGATGTTGAAGCTGAAACTCCAATACTCTGGCCACCTGATGCAAAGAGCTGACTCACTTGAAAAGACCCTGATGCTGGGAAAGATTGAAGGCAGGAGGAGAAGGGGACGACAGAGGATGAGATGGCTGGATGGCATCACCGACTCAACGGACAATGGGTTTGGGTGGACTCCGGGAGTTGGTGATGGACAGGGAGGCCTGGCCTGCTGTGGTTCATGGGGTTGCCAAGAGTTAGACACGACTGAGCAACTGAACTGAGCTGAACAACAGCTTTGATGGTCCTCTGAACAACGAAGGTCAAGCATCTTATCTGTGGAAGTCTTATATAAACTCTGCTGCTGCTGCTGCTAAGTTGCTTCAGTTGTGCCGTCCCACAGACGGCAGCCCACCAGGCTCCCCTGTCCCTGGGATTCTCCAGGCAAGAACACTGGAGTGGGCTGCCATTTCCTCCTCCAATTATATAAACTCTACTCAACAATAAAAGACTGGGTCATTTTGATATAGTCATTTTAAGAAGGTATCAGAAGCAGTACTGTAAGAATCTATACCAATAGTGGAAACTAAAGATAATGTTTCTAGTTGTGGACGTTATTAATACTGTCTGTAAGCCACATTTAACAATTATCACAGTCCAAAGTGGGATAGAAAGAATTCTTAACTCCGCTGCTGGAAAGCATTATGGTTTAAAAAAAGGCATAAGGATTTAAATATGAATATGACTTCACACACTTCAAAGAGCCTTAAAAATGATTTCATTTCATTCCATAGAATGATACTTATTTTTAAACAGAAATAAAGGCATTAATTAACATTCTTCCTTCCATCTTTGCTTGGCGAGCTTGGACTCATCCTTTAAATCCTCACTTTAAAACATCTCTTTATCTAGAAAGACTTCTTTAAATGATCTAAAATCAGGACAAACATCTTCACTGCCTGCTCCAAAAGAGAGTAGTTTACTTTTCCTATCACTCTAGGACACTCTATGGGGTTTTTATTATTGTTGCTTTTAGTTCCCCACTAGACTGTAAGCTCCATAAGGGTAAGGACAACTGACCACTTCAAAGCTGTGTCAATATTTAACACCAACCTACATAAGCTATCAGCTCACTTGGTAAAGAATCCGCCTACAAAGCAGGAGATCCTGGTTTGATTTCTGTGTCAGGAAGATCCGGTGGAGAAGGGTTAGGTTACCCACTCCAGCATTCTTGGGCTTCCCTTGTGGTTCAGCTGGTAAAGAATCCACCTGCAATGTGGGAGACCTGGGTTCAATCCCTGGGTTGGGAAAATCCCCTGGAGAAGGGAAAGACTACCCACTCCAGTATTCTGGCCTGGAGGATTCCATGCAGTTCTGAAAAGTCCATAGGGTCCCAAAGAGCTGGACAGGACTGAGTGCCTTTCACATCTTAAGTAATAAAAGATTTGTGGAACACTGGAACTACAATTTTTAAATCTTTCCATCCAAGGCATGGCACCAATTTCCAATCTTTAAAACAGCTTTTCCATGACATTCAGTGACTAGCATTCCAATCAAGTAATAGTCAACTGAGAATCACTTTTAATTATCCAGCCTACACATGAAGAAGACTAAATTAAAGAAAGCTTTAATGCTATGAACACAAACATGAAACACAGTAAATGGACTAGAGTGTTATGTTTTTATACAATGGAGAGTTTCACTGTTTTTGTTTCCTTTTCCACATGGAACTAAAAGAGATTATTTTTTTTCCCCTAAATAAGCCAGTTCAATATTAGGGTCTCATAACTACAACATAATTACAGGATTGTTTCACTGTTTGTCTTCTAGCTTAGCTGGGTACACATAGAACTCTAAAACAGAATAAAAAGTTAACTACTGTGGCAAACAGAAGATGTGACTTGGGAGATAAGCAGTATTTTATGTGTGACTAATCCTAAATATTACAAAAATTAATGTAACTATCATCTGCAAGTGATTACTTACAATGCAGTATGATGAAAAATGACAAGATTTGTGAAACATGTTATAATAATCAAATCTGGAATAAAGTCTACAAAGGCAGTCTTGCTTCATTTATTATAGATCTTTCATCCTGCCTAAAAAAAAGAAATGATTTCATCTAAAATAGGCAACACTTGTGAGCATCTGCATACTTAAATGGGAGCCTGACTTTGATTCAATTCACTACATTCCTAATAGTTGTTGTTGTTGAGTTGCTAAGCCATGTCTGACTCTTTGCGACCATACAGACTGCAGCATGCCAGGCTTCCCCGTCCTTCACTATTTCCCAGAGTCTGCTCAAACTCAAGTCTATTGTGTCGATGATGCCATCCAACCCTCTCACCCTCTGTCACCCCATTCTCCTCCTGCCCTCAGTATTTCCTAATAGTAGTGTCCACATTTCCAGTGATCTAATAATGATTTCCTGTAAGTATTTCTCACATTGCTGACCTTGACTCATTAATGGGATCACAAACAGCATTTGCAAGAAAGGAAATAGTTTAGGATACAAAATATCAGAGTACAACACACATAGCAAGGCAAAGAACTGTTTCCTGAAACTTTTGATTCACTTTGCATGTGGCAACATAAAATTTATTGCTAAGTACAGGCTGCAAAAAAAAAAAAAAAAATGTGAACATTACTCTTGGAGTGTATATGCCCCCAATTACTACTTCTCCCCAAACACTGCCAAATTGAAAATTCCGTAAAATTACTCACAAAAATGAAAAGTGATCTTAAACCAAGTATAATTGTTTAACCTGGACTTCACACATTCCAAAATCAAACTAAATTTAAATCCAGGTTCCACTACTTCTTATGTGAATTTAGGATTATTTAAGCTGTACATGCTTCACTTCTGTCATCTGTAAAATGAGGATAAAAATATTTTCTGAGTTCTGGTAGAAATAAACAATACATTAGTTCTTAACATATGCTTTACATTAACAGAACAAACTCAAAGAGTGGTATATATTGAAATACAGCATGAAACTTAACAGAAGTTATCTTCAGAGTATGATCTTTGATGTTTATGTGCAATGCTTTTTCATTTCATATATTTCTGTACTATATGAATGTTCATACAACACACACACTTCTAATGTAACATTTCTAAGGTATATAATCTTTATTTTTTTAATGTCAATGGGAGGTATCTAGGCAAGGAGATTATGACCATTTTTGTTTTAAATTTCTCTGTATTTTATAAAAACATGTTAGCTGTTTTTAAAATAGAACAATTACTTGCTTAAAAAAAAAGTGTACAGTGGTCTAGGTTTTAGGAATAAGTACTTTCGGGGGAGAACTTAGGTCTCAGATACTTCTCATTAAATCCTCACATAATCCCCATATACATTTTTGCCCATGAGGAGATGGAGGCTACTGAGATAAGGAAAATGATCTGTTACACAACCAACAGACAGCAGTTGCCAGAACTTGAAAGCCTTTTCTTCTGCCATCACATAATGCATCCAAATATTCTTCTACAGCTCTTTCACATAGGCACATTTTGATCTACCCAATCAGACTGTACACTACCTCAAAAGGGGAGAAAGTTTCACTAACTTCATTTAAGTCTCACATTTAAGTCTCATATTAACGATAAGGTTACGATAGCTACTTAACACTTGTTGAGTTTTATTAAACTTCTCTTGGGCTAGTTTGTCCTTATGCGACATTACTCCTGTAAAAAGGAAATGAGTAAAACACACGACAAAACTATTTTAACACTGCTCAGACCTAACTTTATTCCGACACACTCGGAACTGAAAAAGTTTAAGCATATCTATGTCCTGAGACGACCACTACGGGAGGTTGGAGATGAGCACGAGGATCACAGTGCAAACTAAAAAGAAGGGACTCACACGTTCCCCTACCACGCCCCCGTCACCCTGGCACCACCTAAAGAAAGGAACCTCAAGGGTTCCCGAGAAGTATTGAGGCATCATCACCACGCCCCCATCGTTCCCATCATCGTAACTCGTTTTCTTTCCCTACCCGGACCGCAGTGCCAAACACCAAAACCCTTAATAAACAATTCAAAAAGTCTCTGACCTGCAGCGAAGTGCAGGGGAGAAGACTTCCGGCCGGCCATGTCCTTAGCATTCACGTTTGCCGCGTCCACCAGCCTCTTTACCCGGGACACGTCCCCATTGCGACAGGCCTCCAAGAGTTCCCGCAGGGCCCCGCTCACTGCTGGGACCCCTGGCCCCGGGCCCGCAGCCCCAGGCCCCAATGGTGCTGTCGTGCTAACTCCGGCCGCCTCGGGGCTCTCCGCCAAGCTCGATCCAGGGGAGGATGGAGAGGAAGAGGAGGAAGAAGTCGGGGAAGAAGAGGACGACGGTGAATTGTTACTGCCGCCGCCGGCTGGGGTGGGAGCGACCCCGACGGCAGATGAGGCAGAAACCGCCGGGACCACGGGAGCGGCGGCGACCGTACAGATTGTGCTCGTGGGACTGCAACAGCTGGCACTGTCAACCGGGTCCGGGGATCTGGGCCTGTCGGGCGGATCCCGACTGCCATCCCCCTCCGGCAGCGCTAGGCCGTGCCTCGGGGAGGCGAACGGGGCCAGGCTGCCCACCGTAGGGGAGGCCGGGGTGGTCCCAGGGGCCAGGCCCGGGCTGAGTGGGGGGGGAGGTGGCGGCGGCGGCGCCGAAGCCCCTGGGGCGGGCTGGAGCTGTTGTTGATGATGGTGGTGATGATGCTGAGAGCGACGCGACGCCGCCATCTTCGGACTCCCCCAGCTCTGTCACTGCGGCAACGGCCCCACCGCCCGCCCTCACTTCCGACTGCCGGACCAATTAGCGCCCAGCGCACAGGAAATGATGCTAGGAGGAGAGGGCGGGGTCAAAGGGTGGGAGGGAAGTATTGGAAGCTCCCAGCCCCTCCGCGAAAGGGGGCGTGGCCTCGCCTTCGAGGGGCGGGCTTTGTGATGCCTTCGCGGGCTGGCCGGGGAGATTTGAAAACTGGAACTATCCTAGGCTTAAGTGAGAAACTTTTCCTGCATTTCTCACTTTGAACTTGCTTACCTTGCCCTGTTCCGTTCTGTTGCCAAGTCTCCTTCAGTCTTCCTTGTCTTGCTGCAGAACCTGCGTGAGATGGAACTCTGTGCAAAGTTTGTATCGTTTATCAAATGTCAAGTGCCCTTGTCTGAAAAATGAGCTAGTATCTATCTCACAGAATTGTTAGCGGAATTAAATGAGCTAACATTTACAAAATGTTCTGTCTGCTTCCCTTGTGGTTCAGATGGTAAAGATCTGCCTGCAATGCAGGAGACTCAAGTTTGATTCCTGGGTCGGAAAGATCCCCTGGAGAAGGGAATGGCAATCCACTCCAGTATTCTTGCCTGGAGAATCTCGTGTACAGAGGAGCCTGGTGGGCTACAGTCCATGGGGTCGCAAGGAGTTGGACACGACTGAGCGACTAACACACATAATTAGCCCACTGGTAAAAAAAAAAAAAAAAAAAATTAATGCAGCCTTCTCCCCCTCTCGGTTAATCCCTTGGTCTCTATATACCCCCTCTAGTAGAGTTCTCACTTTATGTGCTTTGTTAAGTACCTCATTCTAAAATAGAAGTTAGGAATACAAGGATTGAAATTCAGGCCCTGCCTTGAAAGAGCTGTGTAGATTTGGGCAAGCTATTTAACCCCTCTGTGTCTTAGGTTCCCCTCTGCAAAATGAAATTAATAGTTCAATGTTAACTACTAAAGTTATGTTTCTTCTATTCTGTTACCTCTGTGCTTTCATTTCTCACCTTAAACTCGACTGAAATAATGACAAACATGTTCGTTTCTTTTGAATTCTTTTTAGCTGACCTTCTCTTCTTTATTCCTCTCATCCCTCTTCCCTCTCCTTCCCAAACTAAGATAAAAACCGGCTTGCTACACTCATCACTCACCTTCAAAAGCCATTCTTCAGCATTTCTTTCTCTTTCCTCTGCCTATACCTTCCTTTTTTTATTGTCTACCATCAAAAGAAATGTATCAATGATTTGGATCATCTCATTAAGGTCTCCGTTTCCTGCTTCTTGTTTAAGAGTAAAGTAGGCATTATGGAAATTTTTAAAAATAGCATTATTCCAAGAGAGTGGACATAGATGGAGATTCTGTGTCTTAAGAAATGCCCAAGATTTAGATGGGTCAGGTAGAAATTGCGTTTTGCAGAATTCTAAACCACATGATAAACTGTCCTTTCACATGTTCATTATTCAGTGTAATTAGTGTGATGCTAACATTCCCATCCAAATAAGTAGGTAAGTTTATTTATGACTACCATTAAATACAATAAGGTCAAAAACATAATGTTATGAATGACATTTATTGCCATCTAGTCTGTGGTTACAGATTATAATACATCATCCATCTGTTTGATAAATTTGTGCCATTGTTCACATATTGACAGATGTGTGACTGGATAGAAAAACTTCCCTCAATGTAACTGAAATCTCTTCACACATCCTCCTGGTTTTGAATCTTAATGGACAGCACGGGGTGGCACCGAGGAGCTGGTGAATCAACATGCACATTAGATGTCCATGACTCCCCTTTGGTCCCTTTACTGTTACCTGTCCCTGAACAGGAACACGGAAATTATGTTACCTGCTGCCCTGATGGCCAGTTACTGATAGTGATGTTCACCCTAATTCAAAATGCATCTAATATGTCTGTTTATCTGTACAAAATAAACTTAAAAGTTTCTGCTGGATAGAGATTTTTTTAAAAGGCTGAATTGCCTGAAACTATTCTACGCTTACTCCTTGGAAGGAAAGTTATGACCAACCTAGACAGCATATTAAAAAGCAGAGACATTACTTTGCCAACAAAGGTCCGTCTAGTCAAGGCTATGGTTTTTCCAGTGGTTACGTATGGATGTGAGAGTTGGACTGTGAAGAAAGCTACGTATGGATGTGAGAGTTGGACTGTGAAGAAAGCTGAGTACCGAAGAATTGATTCTTTTGAACTGTGGTGTTGGAGAAGACTCTTGAGAGTCCCTTGGTCTGCAAGGAGATCAGTCCTGGCTGTTTATTGGAAGGACTGATGCTGAAGCTGAAACTCCAACACTTTGGCCACCTGATGCGAAGAGCTGACTTATTGGAAAAGACTCCGATGCTGGGAGGGATTGGGGGCAGGAGGAGAGGGGGACGACAGAGGATGAGATGGCTGGATGGCATCACCGACTCGATGGGCCTGAGTTTGAGTAAACTCCGGGAGTTGGTGATGGACAGGGAGGCCTGGCGTGCTGCGGTTCATGGGGTCGCAATGAGTCAGACACGACTGAGCGGCTGAACTGAACTGAACGGAACTGATTCTACTGATAAACAGTGTCTGAAAATGCATTCAATCAATTGCAATTTTTTCACCTTTACTGGAAAGTAGTAAAAGTGCTTAACATTAAGTATTTATAAGGTTTGGGTTTGTATGGACTAATGTTGAGCTCTAAACATGAAAGAGCAGATATCATTACCTGATCCTTTATATCTAAACACAATTCAAGAAGGAAGCAACGGAACCCCAAGAAAAAAAATCAAAAGTTAAAAGAAAAACAGTCCTGGGCTTGAATCACATCTCTGGTCGTTACTAGCTGGCTAGTAGTGGTAGATAGGCTTCAACTCTATCATTCTAAAATTCTGATTTTATTATAGCATTTTTGTGAGGGTTGAAAGACCAGGGTGTTTTGTAAGGACATCTCGGTTTTTAGTTTCATGCTCTTGTGTGTCATACATAAAGTGTTAATAGCCACTACTGATAGCACTCACCTCACAATTTCCTTTACGGCAAAGATAGTGACTAGGAATAAATACCACTATTTTACATGTAACAGGAATCTTAAATAGAGAAAATCAGATTTAATTGTTTCTTATGAAAATTGAAGATTCCTCCCAGGCCCTTACTATCTCCAGTAACTGTTGTTGAGTATCATAGTTGTATAGCATCTTATTTTCAAAAATGTTTTCAGAAAAATCATGTCCAAGTGGTATAAAATTGTGAGCACCCAGCACTCTCTTTAAACCATATTGCTGACACAAAAGAACCACCAATTCAAAGGTCACTCATCTTTAGGACAGTGTTGTGATGTTTATTTTTCTCCCCATAGGATAAGCTTTGTCAATTACATAGTCATGAACTTGTGCGGTGTCTTTACTGCCGTTAGACTTGGTGTCTTTATTCCATCCATATCCTTCCTACTGATCTGCTCCAGATCCAAGTTCACTGGCAGTGTCTCCTATGTACTAAGTCCACTTATTCTTCAGTGCTCTCTGCATTGCCTCCTCTGCAACCACAGCACAAACTAAAGTTATCCTTTGGCTGAGACAGTGCCATTTCCTCACCTGGGACTTGGAAGAAGATACTGTTGTCCTTCTGTCATCAATGCCCATGATGCCAGAAGCCCAGATTTCTCTATGAAGGTATTACTACTAAGCTGAGAGAATATTTAGCTGAAGTTTTATCCAGAAGCCCAGGAGAACCTTTTTTTGTGAAGCTGTAGGTGAACAATTTTGAGCATCATTCTGCATGTAAGATGAGTGCAATTGTGCGGTAGTTTGAGCATTCTTTGGGACTGGAAGGAAAACTGACCCTTTCCAGTCCTGTGGCCACTACTGAGTTTTCCAAATTTGCTGGCATATTGAGTGCAGCACTTTCACAGCATCATCTTTTAGGATTTGAAATAACATGACTGAGTGACTCAACTGAACCGATAGATGAACAAAAATTCTAACAGCTGCAATCATGCTAACCACATTGTGCCAGGAAAAATTTTATTAGGTAAAGCAACTTATTACAAGGGAAGAACATTATAATAGTTTAAAGATTCCCTATATATTAGTTTATTAGCATCCCCCCTGCAGTTGATTTTTATCTTTTACTTACAGGGTCCTCTGGATGTTGCTCACAAGACATCCCTTGTCTGCCCTATGATGAACTGGATTTGCTCCGGGTATGAACTGTACACTTGGGAGTAGTATTGAGTGGAACAAGGAGCTGTTAGTTCCAGGCCGTGTTCCCCTATAACTTTACAAAAAAAGATTCTCCTGGGTTTATGGATAAAACTTCAGCTAAACATTCTCTCAGCTTAGTTAGTAGTAATACCTTCATAGAGAAACCTGGGCTTCTGGCATCATGGGCATTGATGACAGGACAATATTAGTAGTTAAGCATGTGGATTCTGCATTTAGACTGCTTGAATGTGAATCCTAACTTTGTCACTAACTAGCTGTGTGTGATTAAAGGATGGCTTATTCTACATTTTAACAAGGATAAATAAAAATCTATTTGGTGTACTTTAAAAATGGTAAACTAGCTTTCCCAAAGCATTTCTTGTAAACATTTTTTCCAAAAGTGATTAAAATTGTACACATATTCCCCATGAAGAATTAGCACATGGCTCTCTCATTCAAAAAAGATAAACACCTGGTCATAAACAAGTTTAGAAAAGTTCCCAAGGTTATAAACAAGTTTAGAAAAACTTCCAAAGTCATAAACATGTTTAGGAAAGTTCTCCAAAGTTCTGGAATATATTGATGTGGAAATGATGTAACTATGATATAACTATATATAATAATGCATATGTAATGATGTAATGGCTGACATGATTTTGGAGTTCCCTAGTGGCTCAGAGGAGAAGGCAGTGGCAACCTACTCCAGGTCTTTTGCCTGGAAAATCCCATGGACAGAGGAGCTTGGTGGGCTGCAGTCCATGGGGTCATGAAGAGTCAGACACGACTAAGTGACTTCACTTTCACTTTTCACTTTCATGCATTGGAGAAGGAAATGGCAGCCCACTCCAGTGTTCTTG